TAACCTTAGCAAATAATTTCAAGAATTTATGTGTTTATAAACGGTAAATTTCAAAATCAGTTATTCTAAAAAATCATTTGAAAATGAAACCCTACTAGGGATTTTAATTTAATTCTATAATTAAATTTAAAGTTTTAGTTTCTGTTTTTGAAACATGGTAATTCCTGTGTAGCAATGGGACCATATTTTGAAATTAGTAAATTTATAATTTTTATTCTCTACAGAATTATATTGAGCACAGTTTTTAAAAAAAATAAGAAATCCAGATTATAAATCTTACTGTTCTTTCTCATTATTTTAATATATATATATATATATATATATATATATATATATATATATATAGTGGCTGTTGACTCACAAAGCAAGTTTGACCATCACTGACATGTCCAGTCCATTAGTTAAGCTCCCCACCACGACACTGCATTCATTTGTTGTGTGAACGACAGTGGCTCATAAAGCCTGTCATCGATCTGCATTTCTTGTTACATATGTGGCATGTCAAATCATCTACGGGTGGTGGAAGTTGACTTTGAACATCATCAATGTGTCTTTTTATATATATATATATATATATAGAAGTCAACACTTAGAGAAGACAGTCTGTTTCATGCTAGATACAATCCTCAGGCCTGAGGATTGCATCTAACATGAAACAATCTGTTTTCTAAGTGTTGACTTCTATGTTCACTTTTATATTTACACACACTCTATCTCTGATATTGAGCACTTTATCCCATAAATATAGCACACATTAAGACTATTTCTTCATATATATATATATATATATATATATACACACACTATATACTAGAATATCATAAAAGTTTTATGATCAGCTATTTTATGCAAAAAATAAATAGGATATTAGCACTATACGCAGATAATTTTTTTTTTGAAGTGGTTAAAAAATTCATGAGTTTTCAGTGGATGGTTGCACTATACACAGGTACATTTTTTCTAGAGGGTTTAAAATTCATGCAAAAAATTCGGGAGTCAAACTAGGCATGAATTCAGTTTATACACAAGAATATAACATATAATGTATCACACATTGAGTTTTATATTTTTAATATATATATATATATATATATATATATATATATATATATATATATATATATATAGTAAGGTACGGGGTGGGGGACAGTTTATTTGCTACATAATAATTCTGAATCAGGTCTATATAAGTATTGCACATGCATAAGGACTATAGTAATATGCATCTGTTTATCTTGCTAGGTAAAGGTAGCACCCTGCTTGGTCAATATTCAGTTTTTTGGTAGTGAGATTGGAATGATCTCCCCAGGGTGAAAACCTGAGCAAGGGAGACCAGGTGCTACCCAGACGACATGCCCTGCCTCCTCACAGCAGTACTGACAAAATCCAAAGGAAAACATTACATTTGAGGCCTATTTGACTGCAGGAGTCGCTAGGAAGTCATCAATCTTCACAGCCAACTCCATGTTTTCTGCTTGGATTTATTTCCATAGCTTTTTCAGTAGATGCTCTCTTATTTTTAAACATTATATTTACTATCCTGAATATTCAAGAAATCTTATTGAAGAAAAATATGCATTCTCTGACAGGATTTAAACCTGTGCCCTTTTTGCAGGAGAAAATGTCATTAGATCCAACGTGCTTATACCCACTCAGCCACAAAAGGCATTTCTAATCAAGCAAGGCTGAGTGGTGTCTTTAAGCAAAATCCTTCTCGCCATAGATTCTCTAAGCGTCTACTCAAATAGAAGGCTCCCTTGATAACGTTTCCGTGTTTACCAAATAAATAAATAAAAAAATCCTTTACTTTAGAGATGACTAAATATAAAATGACTGAAGGGAGGTAACTGCAGTCTTGTCTAAAAGTGAACGTCGCTTGATCAAGGGAGGTAATTCTAATCGTTAACTGAAACGAAATATGAATTATAAGCAGTTACTTATATTTTTTTTCTCTACTTATTTTTCCCCAAGCAAGGTAATAAAACGACTGAGACACAATTATTTAAAAAATAATAGTGTTTGATGATTTGTACTAAGCTTTTCCATTTATGATTAGTACATATAGTTTTACTTAATAATAATAATAATATCATCTAAAAGGGTGGAATTAATACAGAATTTGAAAAGATTTAAAATTTAATAAATTTTCCTAATTAAAATTTGTAAAAAATGAAAACAGTTCTTGTAAAAATTCATTATTCATTGAAAAGAAAATTTTTCTTAAGACAATAATCTCCTTTATCTTCTTTATAAATTCAATTAAAAGCTTTTCTTATTAAATAATGTCATAGTTTTATTGCATTTTTTTATTTTATAATTCAGATCAGATTTTCTGTAAATGGTGTTTCCATTTGACAAAAACAAATTGAGGATTTAAATTCTCCAAGGAGTCCTGTTTTTAACTAATATAAATATAAAGAGGATGGAATTTTAATTTCTCAAAACTTCATAAAATTAAGTAGGGGCTAACAGATGTAACAAAAAAAAAATTTCAAAAATAATTTCATTCATTTGTGAATATAAGTCCTGAAAATTTAATTAAAATTCAATAATTATTTGACTTTTGCAATCATTTCCAAAACAATGTCTTTTTTACCAGAAGAAAAAAACACTAAAAATTCCTATACTAATCTTTGATCCACTGCTGACACAAGAAAAACAAAATTTTTAACCTGCTAAAAAGGATTAAAAAATTTAATAAAATAATCAAAAAATACTTTGGTCTTTCCTCTAAATAATAACAAACATTTTGTTTGATGATAAAATTTTGTTTATATCAAGTTTGGGGCGTTTTTCCATCATGGTATGCTTCTTTTTAGAAAATGTTTTAAAGATATCTAAACTAGCAGGTTTCATTTTCTTTCACATATTTTTTTTAACTTTATCCCACCATTTTAATCATTCCCTACTTTGCTTTCCAATTCCAGAGAGTGTGGTGCTGAACTTTTTCAAAAAGACACCATTAGAAGCTGCTTTCCGAAGACCAAATGTCTCCATGACAAATAACAGGTGATTGATGGGGGCACATTATTTTTTTGTTCTAAATAAAAATAACTTTTCTTCATATTGGAATGTAAAAAAAATAAATAAATTGAAAATAAATTAAACAATAGCATTTAACATTTGATAAAATAGGAGACTCAATTTTTTAAACTTATCAATCTATCATGTTAATGTTTAGCCAGATGCCATAGACTACAAGTAATTGTACCTAACCTCACTCCATAATATCTGAATATTATCGACCTGGTTATTGCCATCCTTCTCCTCCTCATGGCGTATTTTTGTGTGTTATCGACTCCGAGAGAATGAAGTTTAGATAATAGACATAACACAACACATGAAGGATAAGGCAAATCATTGCGCATGTTAGGCACTGACAATATCCTCAGTAGACCTAGCGTAGAGATGAACACCAAAAGATATCTTCTGATTAAGAAAGTAAGCATATTCAGTAATTCTACTGCCTGTACAGACAACCCCCCACAATTTACTTTATTGTATGGGTTTAGCATGATAAAATATATTGGTCGCCTGGCAGTTGTGAGTTCAATTCATGGATCTGGTAGATTAGTCACTTCATTTCAGTGGAAGAGACGCACTTGAGTTTTAACTGATATGAATGGAAAGTGGAATGAGAAGGATTTACCACCTGTAGATTGAATAAAGGGTTTTATTAAAAATTTAAAGGTGACAGAGGATAAAAAGACACCAGAAGAAACATTGTGAGTATAACAACCAAGATGAGCCGATTGAATAGAAAGATGTATAACATTTATGTTGCATAATAAAATCTTTTACTGTAAATATTCCTTACAAAAACAGGCATTATAAGATAAGATTCCCATGGTAGGTCTATTGTATGCGTTTTACTTGGGGTCAATTGCTAAAAACCAGTTGTGAATAAAACAGAATTCCATAATAAAGTCTTTGTGCTGATATGTGTCTTTTGATTGGATTATTAAAATAAGTGTGAAAATTATTTTTCAGTTTGCTGCACGACTATTGGGTGTTTGTCAGTCACATGATCCCGGCGTATCTCACAGATCTTGGTTACAGCCTTCTTGGCAAGAAACCAAGGTAAGGCATGGATTTTAGGTGACTGTTTCTACCTTTCAGCCAAATTCTCAATCAAAATGAAATCATTTCCATCATATTTAAAATTAACCAAATCTTGTATGGATAAAAAAAAAAAAAAGTAAAACAAAATAGTTTAGTGAAGTAGGGGTTGGTTTGGGGGGGGGCTTAAGATTTCTGGCAATATTATTTGAAGGTTTGAATTTATTTTTGCATTAAGCAGATTGCACTAATGGCTGATCATCACTCTGATCCTTTCTCTTTTTATACCTGCATCCCTCTTTTCTTCTCCCCGTCTCTCTCCTCCCTCTTCTCCCCGTCTCTCTCCTCCCTCTTCTCCCCGTCTCTCTCCTCCCTCTTCTCCCCGTCTCTCTCCTCCCTCTTCTCCCCGTCTCTCTCCTCCCTCTTCTCCCCGTCTCTCTCCTCCCTCTTCTCCCCGTCTCTCTCCTCCCCTCTTCTCCTCCTCCCTCTTCTCCCCGTCTCTCCCTCCCTCTTCTCCCCGTCTCTCTCCTCCCTCTTCTCCCCGTCTCTCTCCTCCCTCTTCTCCCCCGTCTCTCTCCTCCCTCTTCTCCCCGTCTCTCTCCTCCCTCTTCTCCCCGTCTCTCTCCTCCCTCTTCTCCCCGTCTCTCTCCTCCCTCTTCTCCCCGTCTCTCTCCTCCCTCTTCTCCCCGTCTCTCTCCTCCCTCTTCTCCCCGTCTCTCTCCTCCCTCTTCTCCCGTCTCTCTCCTCCCTCTTCTCCCCGTCTCTCTCCTCCCTCTTCTCCCCGTCTCTCTCCTCCCTCTTCTCCCCGTCTCTCTCCTCCCTCTTTTCTTCTCCCCGTCTCTCTCCTCCCTCTTTTCTTCTCCCAACTTTTACAAATTAGTCTCTAAGCAACAGTTTCTCCTTCTCCAACAAAAGATACATTGGGTTCCCATATGCGACTTATGTTTCATGACTGTTTCATTTCTTTTTTTCTTTTCTTTTTTCCCCTCTCTTTCTTCAGAATGGTGAAGATCTACAACCGACTACACCGTACCATGGGGACTCTTACTTATTTTACGTGTCACTCCTGGGAATGGACGTACAACAATCTGGACATGCTGAAGAACCAACTGCTCCCAGAAGATAGAAAAGTAAGTGACCATTCTGCCTCTACACCTACCCCCCCCTACACACACACACACACACACACTCACTCCCACTGATCTGGCAAATACTTCAAAACCTCTGTTGTCAGTGGATTGCTGCTATTTTTTTAACAATTATTTGCTGTTGGGAGTTCAAGTCCTACCAAATGTCAGATTTTGAATGTTCAGGCTCTCTCATTCACCCCTTATTGATCAGTGATTAATGACCCCTTTTCTTTTTCGTTTTTTCTTCTTCTTTTTTTTTTTTTTTTTCCTAAATTAAATCCTTGTGGAGCATGGGAGAGCAATGACCAAACCAAGTGGCAGGTTGTACTGCTGTCATTTCAGTAGAAAATGAATTTGATTGGAGTTAAAGCATTAGACAGATACTGCTAGATGGATTGCAATCTAACCTACTATTTACCCCAGAGTGGTGGGGGATGCAAACTATCTCAGCTGGAGTTTGAACCTAACTCATGAATTCTATTCTCTTTGTGCTTAAGTATTAAGCCAACAACATTTAAAAAATTGATGCTTTTTTTTCTTTTTTTTTTTTTTTTTTTTTTGATATCTTGTCTAAATAAGACATAAGGAATCCTGGTCCTCTACAAGTTTTTGGCAAGCTTAGACCTTCCTTCCTGCAAAAAAAAAAATAGTGTGTCAAAAAGACAGTTTTTACCTTGACACCACTATTATTTTAAATACCTTCACTCCTCAGCAATGTTTATTGTTTTAAAAAGTGATGATTAGAATTAGAATAAAACTTAAACGTCAGATAAAAGTGAATTTATACATTTTCTTTGTTCTTGAGAATTTACAACAAAAATATTAAATGCTATGTATTTATTTACAAGAATAATTTTATATTTACAACATTCTAAAAACTAATACAATTAAAATTAATGCAATATTTATTATTTACCAACTTACAAAGAAATAAATATGAAAAAAAAATTTTATTTATAAACATTTATAAATTATAAAAATATGTGAACCAATTATAAGGAAATTCTTATTATTTACCATTTTATAAAAGTTCAAATCAATTGGCAATTAGCTGAAGTTTTTGCCAACCATTCCAATAAAAAATCTAATAAAGAAATTGTGTAAATAAACAATTTAATAAATAACATTTTATTATTTTTCTGGTCAGTTCTCAAAAACAAAGGGAACATATAAAATCACTTTCATTACAATCATTTTTTAAAAGAATAAACATTACCAAGGTTGAGGTAAGGAAAATAATAATATAAACTGAAAAATCATCATTTTGATAATCCTTTTTTCTTTCTTTCTTTTTTTCTTTTGTTTTCTCTCTCTCTTTTGTTTTCTCTCTCTCTTTTGTTTTCTCTCTCTCTTGTTTTCTTTCTCTTTTGTTTTCTCTTTCTCTTGTTTTCTCTCTCTCTTTTGTTTTCTCTCTCTCTCTTTTGTTTTCTCTCTCTCTCTTTTGTTTTCTCTCTCTCTTTTGTTTTCTCTCTCTCTCTCTCTCTTTTGTTCTCTCTCTCTCTCTCTTTTGTTTTCTCTCTCTCTTTTGTTTTCTCTCTCTCTTTTGTTTTCTCTCTCTCTTTTGTTTTCTCTTTCTTTGCAAGCATGAAGGCAACTGTTTTCTTGTTACTTTTTCGATGGTTTTGAATATAAAGCAGGTCTTTTACTAAGACTGTCTGCCATTGAAGGGCTAGCAATTAAGTTAAATTAATCCATAGCTAAGGGCCAAAAATATGAATTCATATACATTATTTACATTATTCAGACTATTGTCCTCATCTTTGTCACCATATTTATTATGTTTTGGCCGTTGTATGCTCCGGCCTTCTTCAGGTGGTTGGAATTTCGAACTGAACCCTTTATTTCGCTCACTGGGGTAGACTGTTCTAGTTCCACGTGCCATGTTTGATGGATGTCAGTTATCTCTTGCTAATTTCCTGTGCCATGTGTCCTCGAGGACACATGGCACAGGAAATTCGAAACTGAACCCTTTATTTCGCTTACTGGGGTAAACTGTTCTAGATCTAGACTCAAGGACACATGGCACAGTGGATAAAGGCATTAGTTAGATCCAGTGACAGGACCCAAAGAGTGTGAGTTCAATACCCAGTTAAGGCAGTGGAGAACTTTCAGAGGGAAATTAACAGGAGATAACTGATATCCATTAAACATGGCATGTGGAACTAGAATAGTCTACCCCAATGAGCGAAATAAAGGGTTCAGTTTGTCATTCCAACCACCTGAAGAAGGCCGGAGCGTACAACAGTTGAAACATTGTGATAAATATGGTGACAAAGATGAGGACAATAGTCCAAATAATGTACATAATACCTCATCTCAGAAATATAGATGGATACTTCAGTTTTCCTATTTGAATTTTCTGATGACTCTTAATTCTTCAGTTAATGATTGAATAAGTTCATGGCGAGTTCTACAACAATAAAACATTGGTAGAAATTCCCCTATCACATTGTTAAATATTTGAGCTTAACAACTTTAACAAAATATTGCAATAACAATCATAAATATGAATATGGGTTGTTATTTTAAGAAGTAAGGAGATACAAATGAAAAGATTAGAAATTGTCTGCTTTTTTTTTCATTACACTGAGACACTCCCTTCTTTCTTGCTTTCTTTCATTTTCTCACTGAAACCCAAGTAGTGTCTTTTCTCTCTTTCTTCATGATCAAAACAAAAACGTCCATTATTTATGAGGTACTGGCTGGGCGTAATGGTCATGCAAACTAACAAAGGACAGACAATTACAATAGGATAATTAAATACGTATTTACAGAAAAAAAGAGTATTTTCACTATTTACATTGTTTGAACTGTTGTCCTCATCTTTATTGCCATATCTACGACATTTCAGACATTGTTTGCGCCAGACTTCTTCAGATGATATTAGTTGGGATTTCAATGTGAAATCAAGATATATACATGGAAGTAGAACAAAAGATTGTTCTAGTTCCATGCATATATCTTGGTTTTAGTTAATTCTCTTTGATAACTCAACTATCCAAGTTTTGTTTCCTCTGCTCTGTTGGGTCAAGTGTCTTTTTGGATTACTCGACCAACACTTTTATCCAGGACAAAAGCAGGGACAGGAGTCTGCTTTGAAAATTGTTTTCAGGTTCTACGTGCAAACCACAAATTTTTCTTTCATCTTGTTGTTTTTCTTTCATCTTGTTGTTTTTCTTTCATCTTGTTGTTTTTCTTTCATCTTGTTGTTTTTCTTTCATCTTGTTGTTTTTCTTTCATCTTGTTGTTTTTCTTTCATCTTGTTGTTTTTCTTTCATCTTGTTTTTCTTTCTTCTACATTTCACTCAATTCCTCTTTCTCTCTCTCTCTCTTGTTGCCTGTAGGTGTTCTACTTGGACCCTCGACCTCTACACTGGCCGCATTACATCGAGAACTACTGCCTGGGCATTAAGCAGTTCATCCTAAATGAAGACATGTCAGGCCTCCCAGCAGCAAGGGCCCATCTACGCAAGTAAGTGACCTCCACAAAGGAAATGCTAGTCAGACAAGTTCTGTGTAGGCTTGCCTTCAAGTTGTCATGATGCAATTTAGGAAACAAACAGAAAAATGTAGCATTGTAGCTTCAAGCAGCACCTAGATACCACTCCCTGGGTAAGGAGGGGGGTGGCCTGATGCAGAAACAGCGTCATTGACAAAAGGGCATCCAGAATGGGGAAGGAAATATTTGCTTAGGGCTATAAGATGATGATGCAGAGAGAGTCACCATTTACATTAAGGCATATATATATATATATATATATATATATATAGATCCGACAGTATGAAGAAAAATATACGGAAAAAACAAACAAAAATCCTTATATACAAGTATGCTGTTTTTTAATGTTAATATGTCAACGTCGGACGTTTCAGTCTCATAAACCATCTTCAGGACATATTCATAAAATATAATTAACATTATATAATTCGGTGTTCTTATAGATATTTTTATTTTTTACAAATATATATATATATATATATATATATATATATAATAAATTAATTTTCCATTTTTGAAACATGGTTAGAACTGTGTAGCGGGAAAAAAACATATTTTAAATCAATTAATTTATAATATTAATGCTCTGTAAATTTACATTGAGCACTATTTTGTAAAAAAAAAATATCTATAAGAACACCAATTATATATCTTACTTCTTTTTTTTTTATTTATTTATTTATTTATTTATATATATATATATATATATATATATATATATATATATATATATATATATATATAAATTTAATATTTCAATAAGCAAAATACTTTGCTGTGTTTCAAAAACTTAGTCAAATTTACTGGAAGGAGTGATTTCTCCCTTTTTTTTTAGTTGTGTTTCATGTCATTCTCTTTATTAAAAATCTTCCAAAAATAAAATATACTTTTCTGAAAATTTCTTTGAGTAATATTAACCTATTTAAAGTATAATTAATCTGATTTGAAACAAATATTACTTATTGTAAGTTTAAAATATTGCAGAAATGCATTTTTAACCTGACAATAGCTGTGTTGATGTGCTTACAGCATGACAACAGGTCTAATGTTGTTTTACAAAGACTTCATCCCTAAAACATAATTGAAGAAAATGATGTGAGCACATTTTTTCTAGAATTTTTAAAGACTCAGTAATCTTAAGAGTTTAGGAAAATATTCTTCCGTCATCTGATGTTTTATAGAATTTTAAAAATGTTGGTTTTAAATTTACTATATTTATCGCTCTTATTTTCTGATAATGTTGCATATGTTAACATGTATTTATTGAAATCAGCACGTTTATACACATATATAAAAAAAAATTCAAAATTCT